TGACCACTGGAGCGCCTGGCAGCCCTGTTCCCGCTCGGCCGCCATGTCCTCATCGCGCAGCACCTTCAAGTGCAGCAGCAGCTGCTCCAGGTTCTCCCCGGTCAGGGCCGACAGGGCAATGACGTCCTGTCCCAGGCGAGCCTGCAGCTGCGGCAGGGCGGCCCTGGCCCAGGGGAGGTCGATCTTATTTGCCACGACTACGTGGGGCCTCTGGGACAGGCCCGCCTCGTACTTCTCCAGCTCGTACCGTAAGTCCTGCAGCTGAGTCCACGGCTCGGGCTGCGACAGGTCGACGAGGAACAGGAGGAAGCGGCAGCGCTCGATGTGCCTGAGGAAGGTGAGCCCCAGGCCCTTGTTCTGGTGGGCTCCGCGGACGATGCCGGGGATATCTGCCACTGCGGGGACAGGGACGCACGGGTCACCACCCGGCCTCTGTGCCGAGGACGGCTTTCAGCCTCAGTCCTGCAGTGCCCGAGCTTCGACGCCCTCTCCAGGAACACCTTGAAAGTGGCCAGCACTAGACCACCTCGGTGACCCGCCAGCTGGCCGCGCTGGGAGTTCTGGCCCCGCTTGTGCAAAATGCCTCCAACGGCCTGGTGACAGGCGTGCGATGAGGGCCACCTAGCACACGCCTGCTTGGCTGGATTCAGAAGTGACTCAAAGGCGGCAGCAGCTTCCTGTACCCTTAATAGTTTCATCACTGACAGCAGTTACGAGGGAGCACTTAGCACACCAAGTGCCACACAGATAAGCTCCAGCAGACTCCCTGTGTAACAGGTACAGAATCTTCCAGAAAAGGTCTGAGTCTTCCGGGATGGCACAGGGAGAGCTCTCAAAGCACGTGTGCCTCCTAGCCAGTGCTGAGCGCCAGACCAGGAGGGGAGCGAGGGCGAGGAAGACGCCGTCCTGGGCTCGCAATGCAAACTCACGGTTGACTACCCGACACAGCGGGGCTGGGGTGTCTTGCGGAGCGGACCCGTCCCAGCGAAGTTGAGGGAAACAAGGCCAGGTGTGCCCAGGAAGCAAAGGAAGAGTTACATCCGGCTTCTCTGAATCCCAGCGCTCGCACCTGACCTTCCGGGGGAGCCGGGCGGCCTACCTGCTATCTGCTGGTGGCCCTCGTAGTGGACGATCCCCACGTGTGGACTCAAGGTGGTGAAGGGGTAGGAAGCCACAGCAGGCCTTGCATTCGAGATGGCTCGGAGGAGCGAAGACTTCCCAGCATTGGGGAGCCCGACCTGGAAGAGAGGACAGGGACAGTCACATGACTCTCCGGAGCGACTGTCCTACAGAGAATGGATGTCCCGGGACCAAAGGGAGCGCTCAGGCCTGGGGCGCACGAGACACACGCTCACATCCAAGCCTGGGGAGATGAGCTGGAGGCCTGGCTCTCCTCTAGCCAGGAGCATGTCCCGCCGTTAGGACAGTGGGTTTCTTTCCTTTTCCAGTTCTTGTCATAGGACATGTGCACTTGCAGAGAGGATAGAGACACACAGAGAGGCAAAGTGCGAAAGCACCCCCGGGGGAGATGGCCACGCCCCAACCTTCTCCAGTCTCCTCTCAGAATTTTGGGCACAAATGCACACGAGAATGATGTGATTTTTTTTTTTTTGAGAGATTTTCTCTATAGGGTGCATGCACTCGCCAGACAGAGAGAGAGAGAGAGAGAGAGAGACAGAAAGCGAGAAATCACCCCCGAGGGGGGATGGTCATGCCACAATCCCTTCTCCTCCATTTTCCTCTCGGGATCCTGGGCACGCACGCACACGTGCCCGGCGTGAGTTTTAAGCCACCGGGTCCGGGACACAAACCGCGGTCGACTACGTGGGAGTCCAGTGACATAGCCGTTACGCTAACTACTGGTTCCCAAGGGAATGACGTGATTTTTAAGCTACTGGGTCTGGGTCTTGAACCAGTCGGCCATGTGGGAGTCCAGGGACAGGATTTACTCCCTGTGCGTGCAGGCATAGGGCAGCAGCACCCACCATCCCAGCATGGGCCACTGTCTTGAGCTCCAGGCAGAGAACTCGCTCCTGGCCCGGCTGTCCGGGGGTACAAGTCACCGGGGCGCGGTTGTCGTTGGTCAGGAAGAAGCGGTTCCCCTTTCCCCCTGCCCCGCCAAGGGCAGCGAGGTACTCGTCGCCCGGGCGAGACAGGTCAGCCACGACTGCATCGCCCTCCTTCACCAGAGTGCCCACGGGGACCTGCAACAGAGCACGGCACATGTGGGGGAGCGCCCGACAGCACCTCCACGCACCTCTGGGGCCTGCACCTTCACCCTCGGCTGCTCAGGGCCCTTCCAGGGTGGACTGAAGTGCCCAGAAAAGGACTAGAGAGTGAGCTCAGCCCACGGGGGACGCTGGCAGGGCTGCTGGGCACAAGGTCCCTCAGTCAGGGCTGCTCCCGGGGCCAGAGGCAAGATGGAGCCCATGGGGTTGACACCCTCTTCCTGCACACCAGTGACCGCAGGTCGGTGGCCAGCCTGATGCACGTGCATGAGTCCTGCCGGCTTCCCTGGGGGCTGGCTGCCCTCCAATCATCTCCTGGCCTGTTTTCACGGAACTGCTCCTTGGCCAACGCGAGGGCCCCTTTGGATCACACCACAGACCCAGGGAGCTGGAGGATCCAGATTGGGTAGCACCGGCCCCGGCACCACACTTACCCGGATGTACAGGTCAGCGCCGCCTCGCCCGAAGCAGTTTTTCCTGCCACCATCTTCTCCGTGGAAACCCTGATACCGGGACAGGACTGATGACAGGGACTTGACTTGCTGGTCAACTAAAGTCGGAGCAAAAACCTTCAGATTCCTTGATGTTAAGACAGAGCTGTGCCCCGTCATTACGTCCGCGTGCAGCCTGCGACTCTCGACTGAGCACGGAGACACGGGATGATGTAGCAGCAGTCCCTAAACTAGCTATGTGAAGTTTTACACAGCTAAATTCGTATTTTCCTTTGAAATATGCTACCATTTCTGAATAATCTGTACTTGCTCTACATCAAATAAAAAAAACAGCTCCAGGATCAGCAGACGGCACAGAGGTCACATCGCTGGATTTCCACAGAGTTGACCGTGGTTTGAGTCCTGGAACCAGCAGCTTAAAATTCATGCCAGGTGTGTGTGCATGTGTGCCCAAAATTCCAAGAGGAGAAGGGCTCACGGCGTGACCACCCCCCGGGGGATGATTCCTCACTTTCTGTTCTTACCTCTCTGGCAAGTGCACATGCCTTATAGCAAATAGCTCAAAAAACAAAAAAAAAAAAACCAAAACAACAAAACCAGTTCCACTCTGCCCTGGGTACACGTTTCTGCTCCCCACTCACTGAGCCTTTATGCCCAAGGTGTGAGCGGATCAATGTCGTGACAGCGTTTACTGAGACGTCACCACAAGCTGTCTTGTGATATGCAGTGTCACATCAGATCCCCTCAGCTGACTACCTCGTGTCCTTGAGTAAAAAAAAAGAGCTCCACGTTAGCTTTCTCGGGCACCTGGTTCAATTATGAATGCGCGCGTCATTCATAAAGAGGCTGCCCACACAGCGAAAGGGGGAGCCTCCCCAGGGATGCGTAGACCAGCCCCCTTCCCGTGCTCCCAGGGGACCTGCCTCTCAGGATGACATGGCCACCGTTGCCTCCGTCCCCGCCATCTGGGCCTCCAAACTCCTTGCGGGGCTCGCTGTGGAAGCAGCTGGCTCCAGCGCCTCCGTCACCCCCTCGGACAAGCACCCTCCGGCGGTCCACGAAGTGCCTTTTCTGCAGAGCAAAGGTGCCGCACGTCACTGGTGCTCCAGAGACCCCAGGCGCTTGTTCACCAGTGGGCGCCTGTCCTCTCCCTGACACGCTGAGACTCCCCGGCCAGAAAGCGCGGCTCCCGAGGCCACCAGGGCCCAGGAAGGGGAATCTGCGATGTGGCAGGAAGGGTGGGCGGTGTGGAGCCACGCTTCCTGATGCAGATGGTGCTTCCAACCCAAGCAAGACAGCTTTTCAGAAAACAGCCCTTGAAGTGCCTTCCCAGCTGTTTCCAGATGGACAGGCGTCGTTCGGACCGAAGATAAGTGCTGTCCCTAGGGAGCAACCCCAAGAGCTGGGGTCCTGGGATGGCTGCTGAGAGACGGCAGGGATGCCAACTGCACCCAGCTCTGTGAGGACGCTTCTCTCCAGATCCCTAAAGAGAACCCAGCAGGGGAGCGCCCGGCTCGTACGGTTACCACGAGTCCAGCTCTCTGCGGCCAGGAGAGGACAAGCGTGTGGAGTGAGCTCTGCCCTGCCAGACCACGCAGCACCTTCCCCAGCAGGCCCAGCCTCTGCTTTCCATCACACCCTTTCAGCCCATTTTAAGAAATGCATGACCGGGGGACCAGCAGTTGGGGTAACGGCTATGTCGCTGGACTCCCACGTAGTCGACCGCGGTTCGAGTACCGGACCCGGTGGCTTAAACTCATGCCAGGCGCGTGTGCGTGCGTGCCCAAGATCCTGAGAAGAGAATGGAGGAGAAGGGATTGCAGAGTGGCCATCCCCCTGCAGGGTGATTTCCTGCTTTCTGTTTCTCTCTGTCTGGTGAGCGCACGCGCCTTATAGCAAAAAAAAAAAAAAGAAAGAAAGGAAAGGAAAAACTAAATAAATGACTGCCCTCTCCCTGCACTTTCACGTAGAGGTGCACGGGTCAGAACCGGAGGCCCGGCGTGCGAGCTTTCCGGGCAGCACGAGCCTACCCCAGAGGGAGGAAGGCGCTGCAAGGAGAGGAGGCGTGGGCTCACACTCCTAAACGGGGCGCTCGGCCGCCAGCCGAGACGCCTGCTGGGCACGCACCGGCAGCCAAGGCTTCCCATCAAGGCACCACATGCCTGAGCGGTGCAAACGTGGAGCATCTGTGTGGGGGAAACAGCCACAGACGTGCACTTTCTAACGTGGCCACCAACCGTTTCACATATTTGTGATCACAAGAGTGTGCTCAGAGAAAGTACCCCCAATGGAGCATGGTCACACCGCGATCCCTCCTCCTCCCTAGCTCCACCCTGTTGGAATTTGGGGCACACGCATGCATGTGCACAGCATGTGTTTCAAGCTGCTGGAGCCAGAATTTAACTACGATGTAGGCTGGGAAGTCTCACCAGCTTCTTCTCAGAGAGCAGCTTCTTTCTGGGGGACTCCTGACGCTTGGCGTGGTCTGCGCAGCTGACGGACAGCAGCCTAGGGCAAGCCTGCTGGGGCAGGAGCCTGCCAGGCCAGAGGCCAGCCCACGTGGATGGAGTCCAGCGCTTCATGTTCTTGTGTGTTGTCCCATAACTCGCTGAGAAAAGCCTCAAAGGTATCATGGCCCCTGACAAAGTGAAACTGGCAGTCAGTCTTCATCTAGGCTGACGTCAGAGAGGCTGGACCGAAGTGCCTAGCTTGCAGGCCTTGGTGCGCTGCTGAAGGGGTCACGCACGGCGACCACCATGCCGGGCCCTGTCCCTCGCGCCCCGCACTGTGTTCTTGGGCCGTTCGCCTGTTACTCGGGTGGGGCCTGTGCAGAGTGGACACGGCTCGGCCTCCGTGACGCCCAGACCCCGTGGAGCATCCCGTACCAGCTCAGCTCGGAATCAGAACACCTGTTTCCTCAACCGTCACTTCGTGTCACTGTGCGCTGTTTTAAAGCCACAGAGCCGGACATGACAAGGACAGGCAACATGAGGCACAGTGGTGGAGCCCTGGGCTGCGGCTCTGCCACTCGTGCCATCTCTGGTGTGCAGGGAAGCCCCACACTGCGCTGCTCGGTCCGGCACACTGGAGTAACTTCCCGGGGACAGCGAGGCAGCTCTGGGGTCCTCGTGTGTCCTGGGTGCGGGGCGTCTTCTGCTGACACGGCACCCCTTGGTGGGCACCTTGCTAGTGCAGGGTGGGGCTGGCCACCAGGAAGGCCAGGACCAGGGAGTAGCCTGGGGCTTTTGGCATCCCCCGCCCCAGAATGGGCAAGGGCTTGGGCAAGCTTATAGTGGTGGTGAAGGCAGCCAGATCCCATACAGTCCCCGTGATTCAAGTCCCAAGTCTGGTGGCTTGAGAATCATGCTGGGCACATGTGTGTCCAAACTCCCAAAAGGAAGGCAAGAAGGAGAAGGGACTGAGGTGGGACCGTCCTGGACATCCCGTCTGTGGGCACACCCTCTGGCCATGTTGACATGGGGAAAGCCTCCAGAGGAATCCTGAAACTAGGGGGTTTTGAGAGCTTGCAGGGTGGCAAACTCATTTCTGTGCAGGAGGGCCGTGCACCCCTCCATGGGACAGGAGCACTCGCACTTGGGACCTGTCAGGACCTTGCCCCATGTACCCACCCCCTGGCTGGTCACCAGTACCCCACACAGGGTCTTGTACAAGCCCGTGAAGGAGTTGGAGTCCTGTTCCTGTCTGAAGAAGGGGTTGGGGACCGCTGACCTGCAGCCCGGATTGACCCATGTAGGCAGCTGGGGGGCCCTCTCCTCACAACTGCACCTGACGCAGGGCAGCGTGGCGGCCGTAACCCATGGGGTCTGTGCTAACGGGGTGCCATCTACCACCTGGGGTTGACAGCGAGCTGGGGAAGCACCGGGTATGGGCACTGGCAGCGGCATCAGGGCGTGCTGCGGGCAGGAGTCTCCGCGGCAGCAGTGCATGGCGTGAGCCAGCTGTCAACGCCTGTCATTGACACCATCACTCACTCCGAGCAGCTGGTGCCAGCGGGAAGCCTTGCAGGTGCTGAGGCTAGGTGTGTAGGAGCCCGGGATCCCGGCGGGAGGCATGGCCACACTCCCAGGGAGGAGCTGCCCCGTCCCTCGGGAGCATGTGTGCCCTTGAGCAGCCCAGAAAACAGCCTGCCTCGCCTCACCAAGCCTCTCCTCGCCTTCGGGTGTCGTACAGGCGGAGCCTGAGAAAGCGAACGCGCGGGCCCCGTGTTGGGGCCTCCAAGTGTGAGGCCGCTGTGGGTGCATGCTGTCGACCGGTGTGGCGAGGCCTGTGCTGCCTCCTCACGAGCACCGGGGCACCCCAGTCCCCACCCTGCTTCCTCCCTTGAGACACTCTTCGGGCGACTGTCCTCTTGCAAGGGACATGCCCGTCCTGAAGCCACCACGGTCATGTGAGGCTGGAAAGGAGCAGAGCACTGCCCTGGCCCCGGCCCCAGGCTGGCCCAGCCCACCTGAGGGCGCCCTGGCTGCTCCACATGACCAACCGTCCCCATGGCAACAGACCAGCGTCCAGCATGCACAGAGTCCCAAGAGCTTCAAAGTGCACACGTGGACCCGGCCGAGTTCAAGGAGAAACATCACAGGAGGCTGGGCCGGCCGTGCTGCCCACACCGCCCAGGACAGGAGGGCTGAGACAGACCATGCCTGACCGGGCTCACTCACTCGGGGCTGGAGGGGCAGCCTCCGCGGGGGGAGCTGGGAGCAGCCACTGGAGGCGGGAGGGGGAGGAGGGGCAGGGACTGGAATTTGAAGGTGGGGGTTCTCCCTGCGCACTGTCTTGCCTAGGGAGGGGTTTCGGGGTCACATGACACGTTCGGGTCCACCTGGGATGTGAACCTGTCACCAGCACGTGGCTCCCGCTCAGCAGTTCAGTGGCAGCTCACACACCAAGGCTGGCCAGGTATGAGGGACAGTCCCTAGTGCTCCAGGATACAGGAGGGTGCCTAGAGTTAACAGTGCATGTCACCTCCGTGTCATGTCCCCACACAGCAGCAGCAAGCGGCTGAAGGGGCGGGTCCTCCCGTGGCACTCTCGCAGGAAGACCACACTGCCCCTTTAGGCGCGCTGCCCGCCAGGTACAGAGGGGAGGGGAGTCCGCGCGTGCACACACACGCACACATGTACAAATACACATGCGTGGCTGCCTGCCAGGAACAGATAAGGTGAGTGTGCACGCACACGCACACGCAAACACTCAAAGTATCTGGGCAAAGCTGGTGACGAGGACAGCGTAAAGGACTGCAGAGCCCAGGCCCAAGGCTGCAGAGCACAGCAGGGGCGCATCCTCCTGGGCAGACTGCGGAGTCCCCGGCGGTCGCAGGAAGTTTAAGAGGACAGAAACCGCAACAGAATGAAAACAGCGGCGGCAGCGTCGCCGGACCTCGGAGCGGGCAGGACGGCGCGTACGGGGGACCCCGATCGCCAATAGGAGCACAGGACCCGGGCGCGCGGGGGCCACGCGGACTTC